CTCTACTTTAATAATTGGATCTTGGATCCATTAATTTTTGTCGCATTTCTGAGTGCCTAAATATTCAAAATTTCTTAGGGGAACATTTCCCAGAACACAATAATAAACTTTGCTGCATGTGCCGTACTTCAGCGCGGTGAACATATATATTCTTGAAAAAAACACTAGCTATTTAAGTGTAAAAAAATACAATACGACACCATAATTTAATAACTTGCATAAACTGCTAGTAAATAATCTCAAACGAAATTTAAAAAATCAGCCAGTTGGAGTCCCCCCAAGTTCATCAAAACGACAAGGTCATTGCTGTAACCTCTGTTTACTTTGTTATACTGATTATTTTCCAGAAAAATGTGAGCATTGTAAATTCAAGCTAGCTTCACCGGAAAAAAAAATCTAATTCTGATAGAAGTGACCATGTTGACACATTTTTTTCTATTATACAGGGTGTATTAAAAAGCAAATAATTTTGAAACAGAATGATCCTCAATTTCACAAATCCGCTCATGTTATAAAATTTTAGCTGAATATACAGGGTGTATCAAAAAAAGTTTACTCTTCGAAAATATTTGCTGTTCTTGATAGTTCGCAAAATTTGTGAAAACTTTCAGTGTTCCTTAGTAGTTTAGGTCCTTCTGATACATCCAAGAAAGAACAGAATTATTTCCAAAACTAAATTTTTGTCTTATTTTCCACTCTTTTGGCTAATCTTTTTCTGCATGATTAATTTTATGGTTTATTATGCATTAATTTTATGCAAAATCATCGTTTTGCATAAATTACTGTAATAAATGCGTCAAATTTATGCGAAACTGGGCTTTTAAAAGTCTATTTCTCGACTATGCGTGCATCAAATTGTATGAAACTTTGACAGTTTGTTAAACATATTCCACACTTATACGGTATGAATTTAAAATGAGTTTTTAAGTACCAGTTTTTGTGCACAAGATATTTAAAAAGTGGATTTTAATAACAAGCCACCTTAAGTCAAAAATTTAGTTTTGAAAATAATTTTGTTCTTGGATGTACCAGAAGGACCAAAACTAAGGAACGCTGAAAGTTTTCACAAATTTTGCGATCTATGAATAATAGCAGATATTTTCGAAGAGTAAACTTTTTTTAATACACCCTGTACATTAGTGGGTATAATAATAAAAGTTACTAACGATAAATTTTCATTCTCCATTGTGAAGACCCAATACATTTCCTTTGATCGGCAAATTTGAACCCTAGTTTCAAATTATGACTAATGATTGTCACTTTTTCACTTCCCATCCTCGCTCCCCCCCCCCCCTTAGCACAGAATACTGCACAGAAGGCGTTTGCATAAGCGCTATTCGTCATGACTTGTCACTTAATAGCAAGTACCGTGAACCCTTGGTGTCCTGGCAATATACAAACAAATAATATTTCTAAGGGATGACTGCTTCTGTTTACGGTTCTTGCTGAGTGACGAATAGCGCTTACGCAAAAAAAACCAATGAAAATGACCTTCTGTGTAATAAACTAATAATCATGCCGCCAAAACAAAGTGCATGTGGCATATATACCAGACAAAAGGCTTTAAAAATTAAATAAAACACGTTTAAAATAGAAATATCGTTGCAATAATGTCTAGTTTAAGGCCTGAAAGTAATCCTGACAATATTATGGAGTATTCAAGGTGGATAAGCAGTTCAATTTTATTTAAATATTTGACTTGATAACCAATTTCAAATTCAGTATTTTTATATACCAAAACTATGCAGAAAAAACGAAACAAAAACTGGATATAGTATATATTTGTGTTATTTTAGTAAATAAGTAGCACATAAATCAATTTCTTGGCAAAAAAACTTCAAAGAAATCTTCAAAAAACAACGCAATGTCGGCCAAAAAAAACTAATTTAAGAAATAGGTTTTCCACTTGAGACGAAATCGAGAAATTTGGAAGAAAATTTTTTTACCAAGTGGAAGTAATATACTTCACTTCACATCGCATCCAATCGTATCACATTTTGTTAAATGATTTGTCATCGCATCCAATCATACCACATCTTGTTGAATGATTTCAAATCTTGTTGAATGATTTCACATCTTGTTGAATGATTTCACTACAACACTCGCCGGTCCGCACAAATTATATCATTTCAAAATAGATTGAATGATTTCATATTTAGTTGGATGATTTCACATCTCATTGAATGATTTCATATTTAGACGAATGATTTCACATCACATTGAATGATTTCATATTTAGTTGAATGATTTCATATTTAGTTGAATGATTTCACATCGCATTGAATGATTTCACATTTAGCCGAATGATTTCACATCGCATTGAGTCATTTCACGTTTAGCTGAATGGTTTCACATTTAGTTGAGTCATTTCACGTCTAGCTGAAGGTTTTACATTTAGATGAGTCATTTCACGTTTGGTTGAAGTATTTACTAATACGACAAATGGTTTTAAAACGGGATAAATAATTTCACAACTAAACGAATAATTTGTTTATAACTTGTTAAATCATTGCAAAACATTTTAAGCTATTTCACTTTGTCTGTATAAATTAGTCCACTGCAAAGTGAATCAGTCCAGGTTTAGACTAACAATTTCTCATCATGTCCAGTCATGTCACTAGGTGATAATCAATCATTTCTAAGCGTAACGAATCATTCGTGTTTGTGATGAATGATCTCTGTTTATGTCCATTAGTTTGACAAGTGGAGTATTTTTGGTGGTAACGGCCGCCTATAACCGTGAGTAGTTGGTGGCAAAAACGCCACGAAGCGAGCAATCTTTGCAATTTATCTTTGCAATGAATCAACAGCAGATTTCTTTGCTTTAAATATCCAATGACTCCCTTCATACATTCAAATGGTGTCATACATCATTTAACAAGTTGGTAGGTATGGGCGGCCGTTACCACCAAAAATGTTACACGTGTGAAATGAATGGACATAAACAGAAATCATTCATAACAAACACGAATGATTCAACGTGTTTTGAAATGCTTGAACCTATTGTAGTAATATGACTGGACAAAACAAGAAATGACTCGTTCAAATTTGAAACGATTCACTTCACTGTGCATTAATTCGGCTATTATTGCGCTGATTCGCATGGACCAAGTGAAATGGCTTGACGTTTTTTGCAGTGACGCAGCAAGTCGTAGAAGAGTGACACACAAATAATTCATGCAATTTGATGTGTTTTAAAATAGCTCAACTAAATTCGACATGATTCAATCAGATGAAAAGCGATTCGATCTTATATGCGACAATGTAACTCAATGTAAAATGGCTCAGTTAAATGCGGCGTCGTTCAGCTAGATGTGAACAGATTCAAAACCATGTGAAATCATTCAATTACACGTGAAATCACTCAAATAAATGTGAAATCACTCAAGAAGATGTGAAATGGCTTCACCAAAGGTGAAACGATTCGCGTCCAAGTGAAATGACACGGCATATTTTGATCTGACGTAATTTGTGCGTGCTTGACGCGTCTTGTTGTGAGGTGATTCATCATGATGTGAAGTGAATCAACAAGATGCTTCCATCTTGTTAATTACAATTTCCTGAAAGAAAATTTACGGAAATCACAAGGAATTCACAAAGAAATTGGCGGAATAAAATGTAAAGATGGAAATTTGCCGCCCGAAATTGAAATTAGTCATAGATTAAATTAGGCGACATTCTCCAAGCTTTTTTGCTTTTTATTGGCAAGTATTTTCCCCTGGAAGATCTCAGTATAAAGGTATGTGTTCATTAAAACTCTGTTTTTCATTTAAACTCTGTTTTTAAACAATATTGCCTTGTTATTTGGCGTATATTATTTGGGATACATTGCGGCAACATGGCAAATTTGTTAAATATGTATTATATTCAGGAGGGTTCCCTCACTCCCCTTTGTATGGAAAAGAATAATAATGTCACATTAACATTAGATTCCAATTATTTTCCTACACTTTCTCTATTCCCTACCTAATGTGCGTACTATATGCTGCATTTTTCTCAGGGGGGGGGGCAATCACCTTTGCACTGATAAATGGTTTAACCTTTAGGTCAATTTAGACACATTATGGACTCATTTACAGCAGAACTAATTAATGCTATCAAGGATGTAATTAACATGTTAAGTTGTGGGACAAGTTATGATGATCGTGAGCTATGTGCAATGCGACTTGAAGTACTTGCTGAGAATGCATTACCTCATGATGTCATCCCATTGGAGGTTGTTGACTGCATAAATAAAGTAGTTCAATTATTGAAAAGAGATATTGGGATAGAAAGAAGATACGAACCCTATCAAGCTGCATCAGATGAAACTGTCAGGAGGCGAGGACGGCCAAGATTTTCTATTACGCAAGAGCAGCTTATGTTTTTTAAAGGTGAATTTGATTTTGGAAAGTTCCGTGTATTTTACTTTTCAATAAAAAAGTACACTAAAGTAACAATTTGCATGAATATCAATCAACTTCGCATCAAATGTGATATGAAATAGACAAAAGACTTCTCGGAAATACCTTTAGATCAAAATGTCCAGAAGTGTTTTTTGGCATCTATGGGTTCTACATAAAGTGATCTTTTACAGACATGGGCTTTACTCAAAATCAAATGGCATTGATGCTTGGTGTCAGCAAGCGAACGGTGGAAAACACATTTGCTGAATTTGAAATGACCCGAATTGAAAGATTCAGTGATATTGATGATGATTCCCTTGATGCATACACTAAATGAATAATCTCATATTTTCCAAGATCAGGTATCTGGCCATGTATTTTGTTCTTTTTGCTATGGAGCAGTCCAAATGTCAGAATGAATTGGTGTTAAAATGCTCACATTTTTTAGGGATGAAGACTATAGAGGGAGAGCTTGTGTCTCAAGGAATAAAGGTTCAAAGAAGGCGAGTCCGAGATTCTATCAAAAGAGTAGATCCAGTTGGAAGGAGACTCAGAACAATTAATGCCATACAAAGGAGGGTGTATAACGTACGCTCACCATTGTCACTTTGGCATATGGATGGAAACCATAAGTTGATAAGGTCAGTTACTTTAGGATTTTAATTATTACCTCAAATGGTGCAGTTGTGGCCAAATACTGCACTACTGTTTTCACCTCAGTAGACAATATCGAAACCAATACAAATAGAATCGATTGGTGAAAAAACGTAAATTAGTAAAAGTGGTTTATTTAAAGAAGTAATATTGTGGTCCCTTGTTACTTTCTTTTTTTAGTATGATCATTTTTGTTGTTTTTTTGTATTAGGTGGCGTTTTGTCATACATGGTTGCATCGATGGTTACAGCAGGGTAATTGTATACCTTGCATGTAGTGTTGACAACAAATCTGCAACAGTGTTGAAACTATTTGAGGAAGCGATTGCTAAATGGGGGCTTCCATCCAGAGTTAGAGGGGATATGGGTGTGGAAAACCGTGATGTTGCTCATTACATGTTGAGCCATCCAGCAAGGGGACCATCTCGTGGGAGTTATATTACTGGCCGCAGTGTTCACAATTCAAGAATCGAGCGATTGTGGAGAGATGTGTATCAAACCATTCTATCCGTGTTTTACGACCTGTTTACACTTATGGAAACGGAGGGAATCCTTGATCCCGATAATGAACGCCACATCTTTCGCCTTCATGAAGTTTATAAGCCGGTCATCAATGATATGCTTACAAAATTTGCAAACGCTTGGATACATCACAAGATGCGCACAGCCGCAAATAAAAGTCCACTTCAACAATTTATTATGGGCATGCAGCAAATCCAACACGAGAATGGTACTATTGCCAACGAATATTTTGAAAATCTTTCAGATGTAAGTTATGCAACTTAAAGAAATTTGCCCGCTTTCTAACATATAAGTCTTAGTAAATAAACAGTTAGTTTCAAACTTCGTTTACTTTTTCATTCCTCCAGACCGAATTAAATACATATGGTGTGGACGTAGAGGCAGGTTTACCACAATATAACGATGACGATGGAGTAGTAGTGCCGGAAACCACAAATCCACTGGATGAAACAGCTTTTGCTGCTTTTTTACACAGAGTGTCAGCAGTAGAGCGTACAGATCCATGGGACACTGAACCGTACCTATGTGCGTTGCAAACACTTGACAACTTACTACCAGAAGAATCGCAGTAGTATTTAATTAAAATTGAACTGAAAAGTGGGTGTAAGTCAATATAACAGTGGAGTAAAATATTGCATATAAAGAACAATAGTGTTGTAAATATTATAACTAAAATTGTAAACTACTAATAATATATACATCATAAAAATCGGTAACGATTACGTTACGCCATTCCAAAATGGGTGTTGCTAAAAGCTAAATCAAATTTTTGGAACATTTCATCTTGACTTTCGGGTACAGTTTCACCAATAGCCGGACGTAAAAGGTTGATGCATGTGTTGGAGGTTGGTAGGCACGAACGCATGCCGTCACTAAAACATAAAGTAGGCTGGATTGCAAAACCCAGAACAGGCTCATCCTCTGAACCAGTGGCAAATCTTAAGATGTCACCCAGCGATACACTTTCTCGCCTCTTGGCTAAAGGATTTACATAAAAAATGTTATAGGCAATCAGTTAAAATGATAAAACGTGCAGAACGAAAGAAAATACGAACATACCAGCAACTTCTTTAACATAATTAAAAAAAAGCCTGTATGCCCTGTTCTCTTTCATCCTCTTGTTGGAACCCTGCTCCGAAAATTTTGGGGCTAAAATCTTTACGATCCTCGGATACGTCAAGGGATGCCATGCTGTTATTCGTAATAGGAAAGCAATCGATGGTCTTTCCTTGATAAGCTGAAATAAAAATGAATTAAATTAATAGACGTTTTATGTTCATGTCTGTTTTTATAATCAACCATATCTTAGTGAACGTAACGGATACACATAAATCATAAATACACTTCTTTTAATTGTTTACTGTACTTAGTGTTCTGTGGCTGTATAACAAATGTAATTACCTCTACTAATCCAAATTTGGAAAAGCCGTCGCGAAGTTGTTCTTCGGCAGCGTTCAGTTGTTCCCCATGAACACCAAAAAGTTTGCTCAGCAAATCTTCGTGCATAAAACACAGAAGCGGTCCGCCTTGTAACATGCTGTAACCTAAAGATTAAATGAACAGAGTCGGTATTAACAAAGGGATCAATTGAAAAGATTTGTGCTACCGCACTGTTCATTTCAGGTAATGTTCAAAGCTTTTCGTGAGTATCTTCAACCGTTTTTCTAAATTTAAAATCTTTTGCTTGGAACTAGTCCACTTTGGAAGTTGCATTTTAATAATAATAGCTATGTTTCTCTTACCAAATACAAGACCAGCTCCAAAGAAGTATCTACGATTCTCGGCGACAACATCTTCACGTAAAATGTAGGTATCGCCGCCAACCACAAATAAATTATCTTTAATCTCCCGGGTCATTGCACCTAGGAACTCTTTCCGAGGACCACCTAGATCCTGTGCGCACTCGCCAGTAAAGGTGACTTCTAGAGGAAGACTCGGATCGCTCACACCAAGTCCACCCAACAACTCGTCCATGCCGTCTTCGTAAATGTTTTCCCGCGTCACGAAAACATCTGTTGTTTCACCTTCAAGTTGCACTGTTGGGTCCTTAATGTCGAGTGGACGACCTCGAAGAAAGTGGCAAGAGAAGGTTCGCAGCACTTGGACAGGGTCATCATTTGCAGTTCTGCAATAGTATTATAAAAAACCAGGCTTATAAAAATATCGTTCGTTGATAATTTTTGCAAGCTTTGCAATAATACGTACGTTGCGTTTAGTGTTGCGTCGATGGCGTTTCGTAGGTGCTTTTCGAAAGGCAGAGCCATAGGATCTACTTCCAGCCTAGAACAAACAGAATGGTTGAGAATGTTTAAATATGAAAAAAAAATATATGTTCATTTTGATTCCGTGTATCATTGAAATTGTCTATTTAGGTAATACCTGTTTTCAAGTTCTGTGCGATTGCTGTCCTCGATTTTCAACGCCGTTTCATTTGGTTGCGGGACTGGTGCTATTGAGTCACTGTCTCTCGCGTCAGTATTAGAGACTGATTGTGTCGGGGCGATCTGATCGTTTAGCGGCAAAGAGGTTGTATTAATTAACATGTCATCATCCGTAACTTGAACGACGTCGTTTCTAAAGATAAATTCAAGAATAAATGAGGCGGGGTATCACCTATACCGTATAAAGCAAAATTTTAAGAAGCATGAAGTTCCATTACTATTGATTCAATTGAATTTCCAATGCTTTATTGTAAACAGTTCGTACACATACAGTGGCAAACTATAGTCATATTAAATTTTAACTTTTAACATTCTATGAATTGATATTAACCTTTCACTGTTAATTCCAGTTCGGGTATTCACGTCTCCCTCTTCAGTCTCATTCTCATTTGCAGAATTATAATGCTGTAGGAATTGTTAAATAGTTTGTTAAAAGGAACATGTTTGTCATTTTCTTTTGGTCGATGTAATTTGTCTTAAGATTTGCAATGAGTGGATTGACAAATAGGATTGAAATGGATGCGTGCCTAATCTTTCATTGTAAACGCATTTTTATCTGAAATTACCTCGCAAACTTGTAGATGCTCACGCGTTTCACTAACAGAAATGCTTTCACCGCATGATAAACATGTTTCTTTTTCTTCTTGAAAACGCACAGTTTCCGTCATAGGAATACTTCTTTGAAGCGGTCGCACATAGATTCGGCCATTGCCGAAGCATCTCAGTTGCTCTGTGCTGCATGAGCCATGCGAAACAACTTTCAGCTTTTTTCTTTCCTTTTCCTGACTCACCAAAATTTGAAAACCACCAGAAAAGCGCAATGGAGGGTAAGCCCTATTAAGGATTAGAATAAGGCAATGCCATGATGTTATACCTGCCACTCTCTCATAAAGTTAGACAGGCCATTAATAAATAAATAAATGGTCACTATGGGGGGTATTGTAAATTGATGCCAAACCCAAAGCAAACAAAAAAGTGATGTTAACAATGTCGTACTCGAATAAAACTTCTTTCACAGCAGCGGCAGTAGCGGATACGGGAAAAGACACCCGTTTTTCCCCCAGACCATTCTCTAGCAACTCCAATTTCTCTGAGCAGGATGGTGCCTCAGTGGCTCCCTTCTCAGCAAAGCAAAACATTGTCTTGGTCAAACACTTTTCTATAGGAAAAATTATGAGATGAGCATTTTGTATAATAATTTAAATTTAAAACACTACAAATGCAAATAATCCACTGGCACTGTTACCCTTCTTGGCAGGTGCACGTCTTCTACGGCCGGGAATTTGCCTAGAGTATGGTTGAACTCTCTATAAATTTGTAAAATTAAACCAACTTGTTAAATTTTGACTCTCTCTTTTCATTTCCTAAAATATTCCACCTTCCCCCTTACTAATTTTTCAGGGGACTTTTCTAGTCACATGTTTCAGTATAAAGAAGTTACCGCTTGTCGGCTAAACAATCTTCGGTGTTCCTCTAGATGCCTAGAATTGGTTGAAGCAGCTTGTTCACCAGTGCCAGTGGATGTGCTACCAGAGGCACTTGCAGTTTGACCATCTGGTCCATTATTAACAGCAGAAGTCGAGGGTTGGGCTTGCTGTGACCTCTCTCTGTTCTGCAGCATCTGCACAACCTACATCAATACATTTACTGTGTCCACATTATGACTCTAAAAATGCAAAATTATTCCAAATAATTTTTTGGTGACACCATAATGTACAATTGTATAAATTTGAGAATATTCAAGCAAATAACATAATTTTAAATGTCATATCAAATGTAATATTCTCACCATTGTTGCATAGACTTTGGGGATTTTACCAGCAGCTGAAAAGTAGCATAAAGGTAAAATTATTTCACTATTATCTGCTCGAACTATTTTTTACAATGCTAAAGTGTGATTGAAATTCGTAAACTATATTAACTCCATGACAAAAATTCCCGCAGAGGGCCCTGAATGTGAGGATGTAAAGGCAGTCTCCAGCGACCCTGTAATTTCTGCAAAGCATGCCTAAATGCAGTTATTTAAAATGTTCAATCTTAAATGAATAACTTTCTTCAGTGGACACGTGGCCCATTGCCCTATACTCGTCAATGTATCCCAAATAATATACGCCAAATAACAAGGCGATATTGTTTAAAAACAGAGTTTAAATTATCTTTGAACACATACCTTTATACTGAGATCTTCCAGGGGAAAATATTTGCCAATAAAAAGCAAAAAAGCTTGAAGAATGTCGCCTAATTTAATCTATGACTAATTTCAATTTCGGGCGGCAAATTTCCATATTTACATTTTATTCCGTGAATTCCTTGTGATTTCCGTAAATTTTCTTTCAGGAAAGTGTAATTAACAAGATGGAAGCATCTTGTTGATTCACTTCACATCATGATGAATCACCTCACAACAAGACGCGTCAAGCACGCACAAATTACGTCAGATCAAAATATGCCGTGTCATTTCACTTGGATGCGAATCGTTTCACCTTTGGTGAAGCCATTTCACATCTTCTTGAGTGATTTCACATTTATTTGAGTGATTTCACGTGTAATTGAATGATTTCACATGGTTTTGAATCTGTTCACATCTAGCTGAACGACGCCGCATTTAACTGAGCCATTTTACATTGAGTTACATTGTCATATAAGATCGAATCGCTTTTCATCTGATTGAATCATGTCGAATTTAGTTGAGCTATTTTAAAACACATCAAATTGCATGAATTATTTGTGTGTCACTCTTCTACGACTTGCTGCGTCACTGCAAAAAACGTCAAGCCATTTCACTTGGTCCATGCGAATCAGCGCAATAATAGCCGAATTAATGCACAGTGAAGTGAATCGTTTCAAATTTGAACGAGTCATTTCTTGTTTTGTCCAGTCATATTACTACAATAGGTTCAAGCATTTCAAAACACGTTGAATCATTCGTGTTTGTTATGAATGATTTCTGTTTATGTCCATTCATTTCACACGTGTAACATTTTTGGTGGTAACGGCCGCCCATAGGTAGGACATAGATTTCGTACATATGCTGTGGTGTTAATTGCTTTAACCAAAAATGATGTAATACTTTACTTTTTCAGAACTGTTTGAGGCATAACTTGCAAATTCCTGAAACGTTTTCCACAATT